AGACCTATTCATTCTGTTTTACTTTCATAGAAAAGATCCACATTTGAGATTTAAAAAAATAGTGAAGAATATTTTAAGAAAATGTAGTATTTTTCTACAGGGTGAGAGGCTGAGTTGTGAAGATCAAATATAAAATATTAAAATTTCTTCGGATGCCCCTCACATGGCATGTTTGTGATACCTTCACGGAAGTGACCAACCTAGCATAAATATTCTTAAATATGTTATTACAGCATAAACCAATCACAGTACTGTTCTCCAAATTCCATCTTAGATGCGTGGTCTGAATAATTTTACCAACCTCTGTCAAGTAGAGGCCGAGAGGCTCAACGGCTGCCACCTGGAGTTGTTTCCTGCAAAACCCCCACCATAGCTACCCCTCCCATCTCCAGGAGACCCCTGAAGTCAGCATGCAAAGGAAGCACGTGTGGCACAAATACTGGTGCTGTCACGGTGAACCCCAACGGGGTTTCTATTCTACATCACTCCACGCCACTGGATAGCGCCAAGACTGGACTTGCTGGGCAGCCGCCCCCACACTGGCATCCTGAAAGACCTGTACGTACATCCACATGCCTCTCTCCAGGATGTACACGTCTGCACGCATAAGGAAGACAGGTGGAGCCAGGTGACTCGAGTAAATAACAGCATGGGGTAGGGCTGAGGCTGAATGCCAGAGTCACTTTTATGAAATCATTTGTTAAATAAATTCAGAAGGGGTTTGTTTTTAGCCAGGTGGAAATACCTGAGGCAGGATCACTGAAATGTCTACCTCTTTCTCATTTAGAAATTGTTATATGGCTTCTATGTGAAATGGGACTCTCAGAAATAACGAAGATGTGAAAATAGCAAAGTATGATAAAACGCAGATGCGTTCTCCTTTACTTGGGTGAAAGACCCATCTCCCCTCCCTGCAGTCCCACCTCCACCCAATGCCAGCCTCACTTCTGTACCAGGCCTCCACTTGCCCATCGAGAGCTTGACCTTGGCTCAGCCTGCTCACGGCTGCTCTCTGTGCTCCAGCGTGCCACCTCCTGAACCTGGATCGTCCCCAAGGCTCGACAGGACACATCACAGCCATACACCCCCAAGGGGAAGGCAGCAGAAAGGGGACTGCAAGTAGAATCAGAGGACTGGATTTACATCTTAATTCTCTTTAACTCAGACTCACATCCTCCCAAGGTTAAACAGGGGATGATCGCATCAGTTTTACAGAGTTACTGTGAGAATCAATGTCTGTGAAACTTCTGTGTAGCCAGCGAGCCCCCCACACCTTTCACTGCTCCTCCGCAACCAGCACCTAAACCAGGCCGTCTCCCTGCCACGCCCTGCAGCTCCACTTCCTCACCCAGATCGCACAGAAGATCATCACTAATTCCACAGAGGAAAATTACATTTTTAATCATTTAGATACTTTGAAGAGAGACAGGGAAGCCTATCAGTGTAGAAAAGCTTTACCGCCCACCTGTGCCTCACAGTAAGAGGCACCAGTGCTTTAATCACTTATATTTTAAAATACCGTTCTGAGCTTTGCCTGTAGCTGCTGGAAGCTGAGAAGTGTGAAATGCCAGGATTAAAGGAATTGCAGCAAATCCAGACTGACCTCTGGTGGGGTTGTCACTGCCAGGCAGTCAGATCCCTGTCCCTATGCACCCCCTCTCTCCTCCTGTCATCTCTACTCTGAAAGAGGGGTCAACAAACTTTTCCTTAGAGGGCCATAAAAGAAATAGTTTAGGCTTGAAAGCTATATGGTCTCTATGTAAACTACGCAATTCTGCCTTCTAACACGAAAGCAGCCACAGATAACACATAAACAAACAGGTGCAGGCTGTGTTCCAATAAAACTTTATTTACAAAAACAGGTAGCCAGCCCTAAGGGCCTGGTTTGCAACTCTTGCTCTGGAGCAAAGCAGAATGCACAATCTCTGAACTGCAACAGAACTGCAACAAAGTCTGCAGCATCTCCACTGTCATTCCCTCCTCTCTGCCCACTGGCTCTGGACTGCCATGTGAACAGGCTTGCCATGAAGGACAAAGTCAGCCTGTGAAGGTAGGGACCACAACCAAGATCCCAACACCCATCTTTAAGAGGCTGCACCAAACTAATCCCATTTCAGGGAATCCACACTACCCCACTTTCTATGGTTTTCCCCACCTTACAGCCTCTTGATTACTATCTAGTTATCAAGTCGACCATCAACTTACTAAGATTCTTGCTATTCTCTTGTTCTGGTCAAAAGGATAAGTAATCGGTTTAGAGGGGCTAGAGCACAGATTTCTACTTGATAAAGATGTACAATAGTCTCTTTAAAAAAATAAGTTACATAAAATTTTCTGGACGCGAGACTCATATCCAGACCACTAGTCATGGAGAAGACCAGAAGCTAAAAATACAACCCTCATATAGAATGAGGCTTTTTCACTGTCTGTGCACTCTGGTGAGCCTGCCCTGGGTGTCTTACTCTCAGGAGAGAACTCTGGCTTGTATGACATAACCATGACCTCCTCCAATTCCAACAGAATCTTCTGGCTTGGTAGAGAGCAGACCTGAAGCCCTGGAGTGAACCTTTCTCAGGGTGCTCCCACCGTGAAGTGAGGCAGGAGAATCCAGGCCACTGTTGCCATCACGCCCCCACTCGCTGCCTCTAACAGATAAGCTCAGGGGAATGATACAACCTCCATGCCCCCTTCCTCTCGGCCAGAAGGACAGACCAGGTATGGTCTTTTATGGAAGCCATCTCTCTCGTAATCACTGTTGCTCAGGTGCCTGTTGAGGAGATGGAGCTGTGGTCACGACCACAGTGGAGACTGCTTTGGAGGAGCCAGACGCCGTTCCCTGCTGGAGATGGGATGTGGGGACAGTCTGGATGCGCACCTGTTTGCAAAGAGAAAAAGGTGTGGTCGGTGGATTACAAGTGGGCTCATCAAATAAGAACAGCAAAAGAATCAGAGAAAAGCCTGATATGGCCAAGAGTTTGCCTTAGACCTTACCTGTGTGGCCTGACCTTGTTGCTGAAGCTGCTGCAACTGCTGGGCAGTAAGGAAACTGACAGGCTTATTGCCAGCAATGAGCTTAGTGCCCGCTGGCATGGTCGTGAGGATAATATTGCGGCCCAAACCGCCGAGGCTGTGGAGGGAAAGCAGGATGAGGTATGATGCTATTACGGGGTATTCTCTCTGGCCCAGATTTAGGCCATGCATTGAAAGGCAACAGGGAAGTCTGCTGCCAGTGAAAACTCCAGTATTCTGTACTGAAACGGAAACCCACTGCTGAGACCACCTCTCTCCCCATGGCAGGAGAAAAGGGCGAGCCCAGAAGCCCCCGGTGCTCTGGATGAAAGGGCCCAGGCGCCATGCCCTGACCAGTAACGGACAGGGCCCCAGAGAGGTGTGTGCTCCTGGCAAGACACCCTCCCCCACAGTCTTGTCACACAAGCTGCCTTGAGACTGCCTGACTGACTGCATCGTGCTCCTTATACCTGTTCAAGTCAGGGCCACAGGGGACCCTCTTCCTCTGAACTGTTTCAGGTTCAGAGCTCAAATGTCAAAAGGAGGCTTCCCTCACACCCAACCATGCCCCATCCCAGTGCCTCTCACCCTCTTTTTCACTTTTCTCCCCAGTATTTGTCACTACCATACATAGTATATTGCTTTTTTATCACGTTTCTCCCTGCTCTGCAATATAAGCTTGGAGATAGCATGGACTTTTGTCTGAATTAATCACTGCACCTAAAACAGTACCAGGTGCTGAATAAATGTTGATGAGCACAACAAAGGAGCGATATCAAAGGAGGGGCCAGGGAAAGAGCAGCCACTTTCCCCTCCTGTGACAAGGACACATACTCCCGCCTCGTCCCCCCCACCGCCCTCTCCATCCCCACGTGTTCCTTCCCTACTGCACAGTACTCACTTGGCTCCAAGGTTGCCTTTGATGATGGGGGCCGTGACCACACTCTTGCCCTTCATCGGCTGGCTGATCACAGAGAGTGGAACTGTGATCCGTGTAGGCAGCTTCCCCTAAAGAGAAAAAGCAATCAGGCTTTACGGGTTAGAAGGAGACAAGGAAAACCAAGTGTTTCCTACCGGGCAACAGGAACCCAGCAGAAAGTACTGCAGACATTTTCAGTCCCAGCACCCACCAGGATCTCAACACTTCTAAGGTTTGTGCCCTGGCAGCCCTGTCAAAACCACTCACGTACCATGGTTAGGTGTCATTTGATCTGTTATCATCCTCTTTCACGCTACCTACAACAGCAGCAATGCTATATATCTGCTTTCGACATGATAAAATCTGTACCTAAAATCACGAAGGCAAGCGTGCGTGTTCACTTAAGAACAGCCCTAGATTCCGAGCTCCTTAGAGGGTCGAGTCTTACTTATCTCTCTGTCCCCCAATACATGGCACAGTGCTGGGCGCACAATCACTACGTGGTGAAATAAATGCAAGGACAGAGGAGGGCAAGAGTTAATCGACTCCGGCACTGGAATGCAGGTGCACTGGTGGGGAACAAACAGCAGGGAGCACTGGCTTGGGAACGGGTCACATTCTCCAGGTGCTTTCCGCTTCTCCCAGAGATAAGAGAGGTTAGTTAGGGGACATTAATAATAAACCCAACCTCAGACCTACCCCTAAGCTAATAAGGCCTAAGAATGGGAAAAAAAAAAAAAAAAAAAACCAGAAAGAAAGAAAAGGCCTAAAGTCTTCGGAACTTAGGACGGCTAAGATAGGCCCTTCCAACACCTCTTGTCAGACTGTCTGGTTTTAATGTTCAGCTGGCAAAAAAAAAAAAAAAAAAAACCCAGAAAGAAAGAAAAGGCCTAGAGTCTTCGGAACTTAGGACGGCTAAGACAGGCCCTTCCAACACCTCTTGTCAGACTGCCTGGTTTTTATGTTCAGCTGGCAAAAAAATTTATATGCAGTAAAATCTTATGAAAATTAAATCTGACTTTTAAAAAACAATTCAAGTGAGGTGGTTGATAGGACGTTACTAACCGTTTCCTACGAGCAGGCTAATTCTAAAGAAGCCAGGCACTCCACTGCAAAACTGTTGCAGGTCCCCACCGCCAATCTCCATAAAGTTTACTCACAGCCAGAATTTGCAGCCCATTAAAAAGCACTCAAAGATGCCAACAGGCAACAGAATACCTCTAGACAGTGCCTCCAAATGGATTTACTTACGGTTTTATTTTCTTCCTAAAAATGCCTTAGTTGCTCAAAACATCCCAGACTACCCGTACACCAACCAGAATTATCCCTTCAGGAACTAGCCTAACTAGCGGACTAGACGGCGGAAAAACACCATTCAATACTTCCTGCCCCACCCAACACTCTCCAGCTGCATTTACCTAGATTGATGTAATAGGGCAGGTGATACTAGACAGAGCCTTCATGAGGGGGAGGATTCAAGAGAAGCAGAAGTGGATCGAGTACATGCCGATTCCTTGCTTCCTTATTTCAACTTTTGGACTATAGAAACCTAAACATTTCCTTTTAAACCACACTGTTAGGGTTTTTGCTTGTGTGTTTCACTCATGTGTATGTCCTCCTCCGTTGCTCTGGCTTCTATCACAAATTACTGAGGTTTTCCTACACAGCCTGCTTAGTAACAGGAAACTGTGTTTCACGCTGTCCATACACACCCGCTATTCTGAACAGTGCTCCTTACCTAGAGGCAGAATAAACACACGCGCATCCAGAAAGACACTCATGTCCAGTGGGGGTTGATTTACGATAAACGCAGCATTTCATGTTAGTGGAGAAGGGACAGTTGATGATTTGGGCATAATTTTAAAAACCATGACATAAGATCCCTACCTCATGCCATTCACAAAAATATATGTCAAATGGACTATCAATTATACTTTTCTTAAAACTAGAAATATTTTATCAAAATAAAGGTGTAAGGAAGGCAAAGGCACAAAACTTAGAAACCATAAAAGAAAATGCTGATGGATCTCATCATGTAAAATTACAAATACCTGTAGAGCAAAAGGCTCCTTATGCAAGGTTCAAACCATAAGAAAATATCTTCTATATATATAAAGAATTAACATCCAGGGGCCGGGCACAGCGGCTCATGCCTGTAATCCTAGCACTCTGGGAGGCTGAGGCGGATGGATCATTTGAGCTCAGGAGTTCGAGACCAGCCTGAGCAAGAGTGATACCCTGTCTCTACTAAAAATAGAAATTAGCTGGGCAACTAAAAATGTATAGAAAAAATTAGCCAGGCATGGTGGCGCATGCCTGTAGTCCCAGCTACTTGGGAGGCTGAGGCAGGAGGATCGCTTGAGCCCAGGAGTT